TGGGGGTAAACGCCCCCATCAGTAATCAGAGCAGCTGTACAATATTGGAGCCAAGCAACTGGTGGGACCGTGCAGAACAATGGAAAAAAATCACACTTCCTCCCAGACTCTTATGCAACATGGTTAGCCCAAACCAAACAGTCAACTGGGTTGATTGGTACCATCACTTCAACAAGTATTGGGCTGTAAGTGGCATCTTTCAAATACCTGACAAGAATCAGGTTAGTCTCCTGTAGTTGCAGCAGTGCTGACGCCATTCTTATTAAGCTGATGATTGAGAAGCAAACTGTGAAATATCACAACTTCATTACAGCCTCTAATTTTTGTTCTTGTTTATAAGACAATCTGACAACAGACCAAAACAAATTTGGCACCAACTTCCAAAGTTCTGTGTCAACTTTAATTTCTTTCTTAGTAACCTCAATCAATCACCAACTGCATGTGGGCAATGGAGGGCCTCAAGTGCTTACAACACAACAAGAAAGCAGAGGATGCAGTCGCTGCTAATACTTCAACTACATATTGTGTTGGTGTCTTAATACACTAGGCTTGTACAGCCATAACTGCAGATTGAAGCTCCAGTAAGCAGAGTGGGCATTTTAAAATGATATCCCACAGCAACAAACCTCTAACACCAAGTCAGAAAAACAAGTTGTTGAAAACAACAGACAGGAATTACCCTTCTTGGGAAAGATCATAATAATATTATCGTGAATAGTCAGTGGATATATTCCAAATTAGACACTCCTTTCTGTTGTTATCCAGCAGCTTGTGGCAGAGGTGCCTGAAGTCAAATGAAACTAAGGAACAAGAAATAATTATACATTAAGTGAGGGCTAATCGAGTGAGAACTTGACTGGGTGTGATATATGCATATAGGGAATCTGTATTTGGTGGGGTTGGAATTGGTGGTGAGAATGCTGGAATAAGCGTCTGACGACCATAGCTGAAGTTTCATATCTTCCAACCATCACCTACATGATTTCACAATCCAAGGAACGTTCAACAGAAAATGATTGGGTAATTAACAGTTACTCTTTAATGTAGATAGAGGAAGTCAAATTATGTACAGTCTTGATATTATCCCAAATAAGAAATGCTCATGACTGAGCCAGTTTGCTTGGATTTCTGACATATCCACAAGGTGTAGGAGCTGAACAAATGCAACAAATCAGAGAAATTCAAATTAGATTTTTTAAAGCTACTTGTTTACCATATTACAGTAAGGTCAGGTGCCAAGCCATTATACTTACTTACACCACAAAAGGTTCCACATTTACGTTTGCGAAAGGTGAGACAAAACCTGGAACTTTCATGCATTGAAATGGCTTTAAAAAGGGACCAAATCATTGACTTAAAGTGACAACACCAATCATCTGTTTTAGTGCAGATTAAACAACAGACAGACAAACTGAATTTGACATTTTATCCAAAGGAACCAAAATCATCTAGCAAACATCAGTCCCCATTCCCCATAACCTCGGAGGTGTGAAGATTCCCATTTCCTTATATGAGCCTGTATGAGTATGTTCACATGTTGGAGAGGAAAATCACGCTGAAATTACCAAGGTTGGAGACAATAAACTCAGACGTAAAAATACACGAGCATGTATTTCAATCAGCTGCTTGTGGCAGAAGAGTGAAGGTGGATTTCTGATTGCAGAGCTGAAATCAACTGAGAAAGCTCTGCCTCCCAAAAAGCACCTAATAACAATCCAAATCAAAATGAAACATCAGAACACTCAGAACTCAAAGGATACTGCAATTTTCACTACTGCTAAAGATTCAAGACACCAACTTAACAACTCTGGTCCTCATTTAAAATTTTGTGCATCAAGTCACCCTAAGGGCTTTAAATAATATATTCCTTTCATCTTCCTATCATTCTGGACACTTTGTATTTGTGTATGTATGTTTGACATCATGTCTTTATTACTTTTATTGGGGTTAGCTGATAATAAATGTGTTCTTTCTTTCATGTAAGAAAACCTTAACTTCTAATTGGCTTGTTGCTACTACTGTGGAAATTAGTTAGCTATATTTTAATTGAACTTTTGTATTAACGAGAACTTAAATCTTTATTGCAGCCAAATGAGGAGTCTTAAAAGAGGGGAGCTAAATCACACCCACCTCACCTGGCCTTAACAAAATTGAATGCTTGGAGTCTGGGATAATCCCACAAAAGAACTGGAAAGGGGAAAATAAAATTTTCTTTTAAAAGCCACTAATTTACAAAATGCAGAAAGGTTTTCTTTTCAGTCTGCAATATTAAAGTGTGAACCTGAGACATTCACACTTCAAGATATTTTCTAATCAACCTGTTCAGTAATGTTATTACACACTCCTGGAGCAGATGGGACTTGAACCGAGGCCTCGGTGCTCAGAGATGTGGATACTACCACTGCACCACAAGATCGCTCTCCACACTTCAATGCTTTCAAAAAACAGGATGTCATAACTTACAGAAAGTTGTAGGTGATATCTTGGCAAAATTAGGTGTGGCTAGGCACTGAAAGACGGAGTTCCACCTGAAAGCAAGGCAAACAGAAATTGCAAAATTGGTGATGAAGCATCTAGAGGTTGAAAATAGATAAATTAAAACTGGAGCAGTAGAAATTTGAACTTGGATTCCAAGAGGAGAAAAAAGGGAAGAGAATTCTAGGAACAGGAAAAAGAGAGAGGGAGAGACGGTGGAAATTAACCGTAATTTGACTGTAATTAAACTGCAATGAAAGGGAAAAGGAGAAAGAGAAGCGCAAAAGGGTAGGAGAAATGGACTTTAACTTGAAACATTTTGAGCTGAGAGGGGGAGTCCTAATGTGCCATTGAAGTCACCTCTGGTGAGGAAATCACCCTAACCCAGACTTAAGGAATGTAGTGTTAAAATTTATTCACCTCATCCCCTTGTTTGATGAAGAAGAGGTTTCTTTGTCTCTTTCAAATGATTAGTACGATAGTTAAGGTGGTTAGTCCAACAATGTTGTGGAGATGCCAGTGTTGGACTGGGCTGGACAAAGTCAGGAGTCACACGACATCAGGTTATAGTCCAACAGGTTTGTTAAAGTTACAAGCTTTCGGAGCGTTGCTCCTTCACCAGCTTTTGCAGAGTAGGACAAGATGGGAGAGCAACTAGCTAGAGGCAACAAAAGGTGCTATCCTAGATGTGTACCATTTTGTACCAAAAATTCCATACCCTGAAGAATAGCCTAACCATACATAACAGAAATTTCAAGGCTTAAGCAGCTTGCTTTTGACTGGTAAATACGAGCACTTAAGGTTGAGGTTACTTACCAAAACTTTTGTGAAGTAATTGTTCTTACAGAGTTCAAAGACTCCATACCCTTGACAATTTCATAAACTCGGAAAGGCTGTGGTCTTGAAACTTTGACACAACCCTCAGACAAGCTGGTGAGAAAAATAAAGTGATACAGTAAAAGTAGAACTGGCTCTGACCATTAAGTGACAGGGTCTGGAGAGGAGACACCTCAGAAACCACACCAATTGCTTCCTCTGCAGGAAGCCAGGCTATTAATAGAAAATTATACTCAGGCTACTGATGTCTGTAACATTAAAGATGGTCAAACAGGACCATGCTTGGTCTTGGATAAACACCAACACTGGACATTTGACAGAGTCAAGGAGGTACTGTCTTCAGCAACATTGCTCCTCTAAGTTGCAGACTTATCCACTATAATTGTTGTTGATATAATGGACAACACAAGTGACACAATTAGAAATCATGTCTTCAATACCTTGGAGACTCCCAACCACCAAACTGAACTGTGGGCTCTGGCCTGGCACTTGGTTAGGCCAGGTGCCCTGATGTTTTTATTGAAGTGTGACTAATCTGAGGTCTTTAGGAATGATAACTCTTCTATCATAGACCAACAAAACATGCAGATACTAAGGTGGTCGCACTGTTAAAAGTACTGCTTAGGAACAACTTCAGACCATTCTGTAGCACAGAACCCACGTATCAGTGTGCAGTTGGCATCACCATTTTAGGCTGCTCAAATTTCCTCTAGCTTCAGGGAAGTTGCCAAGGGTTCTTCTCCTTGGGAAAGAGAAGGTTGATGTCTGGACAGAGGTGTTCAAAATAATGAAGAGTCTAGACATAGTAGATAGACAGAAATTATTCAGGTTGGCTTAAGGATCGAAACCAGAGATGCATATTAAAGGCATTTGGCAAAAGAGCCAAAGGCAACATGTGGAGTATCATTTTTTATGCATCAAGTGATTAGGACCTAGCATCTACTCCCTGAGTGTGTGGTGGAGGCATGTTCAGTTGCAGCTTTCAAAATGGAGCTGGTTAAGCATTTGCAGAGTGAACTTTCTCAGAGTTTCAAGGAAAGAGTGAGTCTAGTGAAATTTCTCTTGCAGACAGTGGCATAGAGTTGACAGACCAGTGGCCACCTTGTGTGCTGTAAGAGTCATAGAGATGTACAGCACAAAAACAGACCCTTTGGTCCAACTCATCCATGCCAACTTTATGTCCTAAATTAGTTTAGTCCCATTTGCCAGCATTTGGCCCATACCCCTCTTAAACCCCTCCTATTGATATACCCTTCCAGATGCCTTTTAAAATGTTGTAATTGTACCAGCCTCCACCACTTCCTCTGGTAGCTCATTCCATACACACACCACCTTCTGCGTGAAAAGGTTACCCTTTAGATCCCTTTTATATGTTTCCCCTCTCACCTTAAACCCATGCCATCTAGTTTTGGACTCCCCAGTCCTGGGGAAAATTCTATAATCTGTATAAATTGGAGTATGTTGCTGATCTTTGGCACTCACATGATCAATCATTTGATGAAACTTATAGACGCAGTTCTCCATGAAAGGAACTCAGATCAAGTGGCATCTTGAGTCTGGCTCCATGCAGAAAGTTAGCTATACAGTATCAGAACTGAAATCCTGTGCAGAAACTACAATCAGAAGCTACAAATTCTTGTCATGTGACATGCAATTTTTTTGAGTCCAAGCTCCTTTCTTCTCCTCAGGGATTGTATGAAAGGGGATGAAACTGAAAATAAGAAGATTGGTTGTACTGTTAATTTGTTGGTAAGCAAGTAATTTTCTGTCTGTTTAAATTTTATTTGTACTCTTAACAGTGCATTAAAATATTTTTCCAATTTTGGTACCTAATGTCAGCAGCAAATACTTTTAGGTCAAGCGCATTAGAGATTAGTTACAGAGTTAAGGTTTTTATTCCTTTTGCCTTTAAGTCTTACATAGAATGCTACAGAGCATTAGATGTTCTCAGTATGGCAATGCCAAGCACACCCAGGCCAGATGCAGTATAGGTTAGGCAAAAAGTAAAGCTCTCCTGACACAATCTCACCAAAGAGATTCAGGATTGGTACAGAACAGGTAATATGTAGGTACATGTTCCAAGGCTGTATTGTTAGAGACTTAAAAATAATAAATGGGCAGTAATCAATGTTCAAGGGTGAAGTGTGTAATTTAAAATGATCTCTTTCACTTGCCTGTTCCAACTGTAATATGCTTACAGATATTTACAATTATTTCAGAATTTTTATAAATCTGAGATTAACAAGGAGGAAATGTATATCCGTTACATCCATAAACTGTGTGACATGCATCTGCAGGCTGATAATTATACAGGTAAGAATCAATAAGCTTGTTCCTTTCCATATTTTAAACAAGTCTGGAAGTTCTGGATAATTTCACCCTGGATTTGTACTTCTAGTCACTTTTCTGGTCTTTTCTAGTGATTTAAAAAAATGAGGATCTGTATTTCTTCAAAAAGAATCTTAAAATATGTTCTTCTCTGTTACCATGTCCACCATTCAGCCTTCCTTTTAAAAATTGAACAGTCAACATAGTGGAACCTTTATTCTTTAACTCAGGCTTGATGAATAATGGAAATTATATCATGGGTGTTTATATTTTGTCAGTTTGATCCATTTGATTACACTCTTGGCTCAGAACTGAAGGCTGTCAATTCAAGTATTCCCAAGGAAGTACTATTCTTAAGATGAGATATTGAATTGAGGACATTTCCAATCGTTAAAGTGAATGTAAAAGAAAATCCCAACACAGTTGACAAAAAAAACTTGGATTGACCTCCCATCCTGGTTAGAATTCTGTCCCAAACCTGCAGTACCAAAAGCAGTTTAACTGATATTTATGTCATTTGTTTGGTACGTGTAAAATATCAATATTTAGTGGTAATGACTGCATTTCAAATAATTAATTGCATGGAAAGTGCTTTGACATGTTTTGAGAGATGTGATAAAGAACTTTATAAATGCAAGTTAAGACATAAGAAATAGAAACAGGAGTGAAGATAGAAAAGGACCTGAGGTCTTAAGCACCTGAAGGATTATGGAAACAACAAAACAGCGAATCCTGATTGTGATGTCCTGACCAATCAAATTCAAATTGCCTGCTCTGAAAGCGATCCCCCCCTTTAATAGCAATTTAGATCCTCAATTTTTCCATTTTGATCTGCAGTAGGTAATGAAAGTTGACAGTTCCTTAGAAACCACCACCAACAGTGGAGTGAACAGCCGAGGACTGAAAGCTCCCCAGATTACGAACTGCATGCACTATCTAATGGTCAGATTTTGTTTGAAGATTTCCAACAGTGAGGTTCCTTCTATTAGAGAGGTCCCATTGGTGTCACAGTTCTCTTTGGGTAGGGTGAGACATTGATTGGACTCCTTGTGGTTCTAAGATGACAACTGACTTTGAGCCAAGTCAGCTGTCTGTTCTTAGACATGTGGGAAATATCTGCATGGGAAATGAGTTCACCCTCAACATATTAATTAGAAACCCTACAGAGGTCTAGGTTTCTACATAAACTGATTTTGTGAACATGACGACAGATTTCTATCAGTAACAGAAACGCAAACTGATCTGAGGGGTTCATGACTCCCAATTCTGAGATATAGCAAGAAACTCAGGTCACAGGTATCCTAAAGATGAGACTGAAAAAAACTAAACTCAAAAATATAGAAGGTAATAACCTGATGCAATGTTCTCAATCTACAGTAGATAGATGGAATTCACTTTTAAGGTTTCAAAGTTTTGACCCTCAGCTCTGCTGCACTGTTGGTGGTGGGTTCTAAGGAACTGTCAACTTTCATTACCTACTGCAGATCAAAATGGAAAAATTGAGGATCTAAATTGCTATTAAAGGGGGGATCGCTTTCAGAGCAGGCAATTTGAATTTGATTGGTCAGGACATCACAATCAGGATTCGCTGTTTTGTTGTTTCCATAATCCTTTCTTCCATGACAAAGATGCACTATGTGGATATATTTCTTTCAACAAAGAACAGGGCCCTGTGTGTGAACAAATGTAGCTTCTAAAATATGACGTGTGAGTGCCATAGGAGTATGGTGCATAGGTAATAAGGCAAGTTAGGGACGATAGTGTGAGTAATCTCAGTTAGCATCATGGAGAGAAATCCTCCATGAAACTTGACAAAATTGGCACTTAACTGATTTCTGGTAAAATTCGGCTGTATGTTTTGAGTTTTGAAAACACAGGCTAGTTGAGCATGGTTGGCATGCTGCCTGCTGTGTGCAATTATTACAGACCTGTTGCTTTATGAAGTTTCTTTCTGAAGTGAAGGAGTTGAAACTTGAAATTAGATTCAGCAGCTGTAAAGCTTCTTAAGTTGAGCAGTAGATATTTGTCCATACAAGCAGGCTCAGCAGGTCATCAAGAGGGAGCAAGTTTCTTGTACCCCACCAATTCTGTGGTTACAGCAGTTGCAGATTGCCTGGATTCTTTTAGTAGAATAGCAGTTGATTTCTGAAAACTTTCCTCATTGAACTCCATTGACCAATAACCTTCACCTCTGATTTGTCTCAGAACTCTTGGGCTCTGCACAAAATGATCATTCTGATTTTGTCTTCATAGAATTAAACACTTAACATGGCTGTTTTCCCAAACTGTCAGATCGTGGTTCCATATTCAGTACAAAAACAGAAACAGCTGGAAAAACTCAACAGTTTTGGCAACATCTGTAGAGAGAATTAAAGATAATGTTTTGAGTCCAGTGACCCTTCATCAGAACTGAAAATAGATGGGAAAGGGTGGTATTTATGCTGATGGCCAGTTAGGAAGAGTGAATTAAGAACATGGAGATGGAGCTGAGACAGAGAGAGAGAAGGGATAAGGGAAAAGGCAAGCAGAGATAGCTAATGATAAGCAGAGAGAGAGAGAGAAAAATGTATAGGGTGCTAAAGAGAAGTATGAATAGTTGAAAACAGGTTGACTGTGCAATACAATCTAGGACCATGGGGTATGGATGGAGAGTAACCGACATGAAATAGCAGAAGATGAGGTGTTCCTCTAGCTTCCGTTAAGCCTTACTTGAGAACACAGCACACGAGTCAGAAACGTTGGCATGGAAACACGATGCTCTGTTGCAGTGGCAGTCAACTGGAAGTTCGGGGTCACATTCACAGACCAAGCTTAGATATTCAGCAAAGCAGTCACCCAGCCTGTATTTCGTCTCCCTGCTGTATAGGAGACCACATTATGACCTGCAGATATGGTGGACTAGATTGAATGAATTGCATGTACATTTCTGCTTCACCTGGAAAATGTGCCTAGGGCCTTGGATAATGAGGAGAGGGGAGGTAAATGGTCAAGCTTTGTACCTTCTTCAATTGCATTAGAAAGTGTCAAGGGGTTTGTGAGAAAGTGTTGGGGGGAGTGGACCAGTGTGTTCCGGGGGGAATGGTTCCCATGGAATGCTGACAAGGTGGGGAAGGGAAATCAGTCTGATGATGGCATCCAGCTGAAGATGGTGGAAATAGTGGTTTACGGTCATTTAGATATGGATGCAGGTGAGGTGGAAAATGAGAACCAAGGGAATGCTATCATTGTCATAGGAGGAGAGGAAAGGGGTGAGGGCAGTGTTGCAAAGTTGGGTAGAGTATTAGTGGATTGGAAGGCAGGATGTTTGAATTTGATTTTCGTAAAATGACAGGGGGAGGAGTGTGTGGTCCCTTTAAAAGTTGATGTGTTTTTTAGACTTGGAGTTTAAAAAAAATGTATGCAGGTAACAGCAGATGCACAGAGAGCTCTTGAAATTGAAACATTGTATCAGAAGCCTATACTGTTAACAGGGAAAGCAGCATTTTTACCAAGACAACAGGTTTTTGAATTTAGCCAATTAATTTAAACCAGACCCTAGATATGAAAGCCCAATTAAGTTTAAATCTGATGGTTTTGACAACATAGAGCCAATCCTATTGTAAGAAATTAATACGTCATCAAGTATGTAAGAGAAGAGGGCATTTGAAAATCAGTGTGAGAGCAACTGTCATCTGTTAAGAGAACAGCTCTCAACAGCCGTCAGCTCTAAAGAAAGAGAAATTCATTGGCTCTCATGGAAATGTCTAAGAGCTCAGAATAAGCACCATCTAAATAAAGGTACTATGGCATTCTTAGCTAATATTCCTGACACACGAATTCCATGAAGAAAGGTGTTCCTGACTGGAGGACCGCGAAGAAGGCGAAGAACATTCCGGAAGATGTACCCTGGCTGTAATTTCGAGAGACTAAGTTTTAATTTATTTTTTCCTATTACTTTGGTTTATATAAGTGGGACTTTATTGGAACAGCATGACATTAGAATTTTGTTTTATTCAGGATTAGTTAGTAGTTAAGGGGGTAATTGTTCGGTTTGTTAGTCGCTCTGTTAATTTATTCACGGTTAGAGTTAAATAAATTGTTACTTGTTGCTTATGAAGTGAGTATCAGGGATTTCTTTCATTTAACCACTCCACCACCGCTTCGTAACAGCAGAAGTATGGGAAAAGGGTCCAACATGGCTGAGGGCCCTATCAACCACAGCGGCAGGGAATCCTCAGGTGAAGAAAAAGGTGGACATAGTTGAAGCCCTCTTGTGGAAGGGTGGCATTATCAGAAAAGATACAACAGAGATGGAGAAACTGGGAGAATGAAGTGGAGTCCTCATAGGAAGCAGGGTATGAGGATGTATTTTCAAGGTAGTTATGAAGTCAGTGGGTTTGTAATGGTTATCACTGGTGAGCCTATCCCCAGAAACGGAAGCAAAGATGTTGTGGAAGGAAAGGACGAGTCGCAGGTGAGCCAGGTGAAGGCGAGAACAGGGTGGAAATTGAAAGCAAAATTGATAAATTTATCCAATTTCGGATGAGAGAGGGCAGCAGCCTCAATGATGTCATCAATTTACCAAAGAAATAGTTGTGGGTAGAGGTCAGAGTAAGACTGAAACAAGGAATGTTCTACATAATCCACAAAGAGATATGCATAACTGGGGCCCATGCGATACCCATGGCCACACCTTTCATCTGAAGAAAGTGAGAGGAGTAAATGTTCAAAGTAAGGATGAGCTTGGCCAGTCAGAGGAGGGTGGTGGTGGATGGGGATGATTCACACCTTCTCTTAAGGAAGAAATGGAGAGCCCAAAAACCATCCTGCTGGGGGATGAATGTGTAAAAGGATCATACATCCCTGGGGAAAAGGAGGTGACTGGTGCAGGTAAACTGGAAATTTTGAAACCAAGATAAAGCATTGGATGACTCACAGTAAGTGGGAAAGGACTGGATAACAGGAGATAAAATCAAGTCAAGAATGGAAGAAATCGGTTCCATGGGGCAGGCGCAGGTTGAAACAATGAGTCTGCCTTGGCAGTCTTCCTTGTGGATTTTGGGAAGAAGGTAGAAGTGTACTGTACGAGGTTGACAGACAGTGAGGAGGGAAGCTGTGGGGAGGGGGTGGTGTAGGGGGGCTGGTGGGTTGGTGGAGTGGGTGAATAAGTTCCCAGATGAGATGAGGTCATCATGGAGATGATAGCTGGTGTTCAATTGTGGGGAGAAAGGAGGAGGTCACCACAAGCCAGTACTTATCCTCCGCAATGTGAGGCCACTACACTACACACCACCTTTATTGGCAGATTTGATTATGGAGTCAGAGTTGGATCTGAGAACATGGAGAGTAGCAAGTTCAGAGAGAGTTGGGTTCAAATAGGTGAGGGAGCAGAGAAATTAAGGCAACAGATGTCACGTCGATAGTTCTCAATGAACAAGTCAAGTGCAAGTACGAGACCAGAGGAAGGGATCCAGGTACAGGGAGAGTGTTGGGGGCAGGTGAAGGGGTCTGTGGGGTTGGATGGGGAAAGAACCCCTGTACAAAGAAATTGGGCACAGAGAACAAAGGTGACGGAAGAAGATCTTGACATCATGTCATGCCCAAAATATGTTGAACATCAGTGTTGAAGGTCAGAAGGTGTGATAAATTCCCAGCAAGAAGTGGTGTTAGAGGAAGGGATGAAGTCAGAGGGAAGGGGAGGAAGATTTGAGAAGGGCCTGAATATCTGAGTTATTGCAGCTTGCATTCCTCAATACCTGAAAGGAGAAGAAAAGGTTTCTGGTTAAAACGTTGAATGAAGTAGACTGGGGGACAGGACAAGTTTGAGATAGCATGAGGCAGTGTTGATGGAGAGAGAGATTGAATGTGTGCATATCGCAGTGGATTACACTGAGTGTGGACCTCAGGATGTAGTGAGAATAGCTGCTCGAGGAACATTGTATATCATGGAGACGTCTGTGTTCCTGGTGGATTAGAAATACAAAGGTGAAACTTAAGTTGGAATCCATAGAGTCTGAGCTGGAGGGAGTCACTGAGGAATGATATTTTGCTATGAAAGCAAGTTTTGGTGAATATTCAGTATTGGGCTAGCTTAGATCTGGAGCATAGCCCCATCCATCATCTTTTAGTCAAGGTAATTATAAATTTAAATGTCTCAACCATTAACTTGAATGGCTGCAATTGTTCCAAGTTTGGTGATGTAGGAAAATGCTGTACTCCATTCCTTCAGGTGTCTGTTTACCATTGTAGAAATGCTCATCAAGTTTCAAAAGTCTGTCTGTAATACATCTTGAAATAAGCAGTCTTGTTCCTCTATATGGTTGATCATAGTTGAATCTGCAAGAGAACTTTTTGTGAGGCTTTTTTTGTATAAACAATGCTCCATTTTACAAGAAGAAAGCAGTTTCTTATAAAGTCTACGATATAACTAGTGATTGTAACAAGGTCAGCCAGCTGACCTCATAGAATATGAATTCACTGATTGGGCTGTTAATCTGGTCCAATCAGGAGCCCTGGCTGACATAAAAAGGTTAAGTTTCAGAGATATTGACACTCTAGTGCCTGAGTTAGTGTAATAGTGAAGGACAAATCTTGTGTAAATAAAGGGTGACTTGGTGATGTACCGGCCTCTGTGGAGTTATTTCAATAAACACACAAGATATCAAAATATCTTGAAATTCAGTTCAGTAGAACTTTCAAGGACTGTGGTAATCTCTTATGCGTACCGGATAACTTCGCCTTACAAAAAGGCATCAATATGGAAGAGTCCAAAGATGTGCTGGTTAGATGGAATGGCCATGCTAAATTGTTCATAGTGTCCAGGGATGTGCAGGCTAGGTGGATTAGCCATGGGCAATGCAGGGTTACAGGGTTAGGGTAGGGGATGGGTCTGGCTGGGATGGTGTTCAGAGGTTTAGGGTCAGTGCCAGTGGGGCAAATAGTCTGTTTTTCCATACTGTAGGGAATTCTATGATTCCAGTCTTAGGTTCAGTAAAAGGAGCACCAAAAGAAGCAGCAGCAGCTTGTGGTGGCACCAAGACCAATTCATCAAATCTTCATATTTACGACCTTAACTTAAAAATGTATTCACTGCAGTGACAGTTGTTCTAGATCCACTCCACCAAAAGTGCCATAAATTTTCTACAGTCAAATATTTAATTCCTACCGCCTAGTTAAAAATTCTCATATATCTTTGCAAGAGCACTCTACACACACTGCCTTAGTGCAGAAGAGAGAAAACTAAGGACATGTAAAATGTAAGTTGAAATCACTTTTAGAAATTACTCGGTGTTAAGACTAAAAGTAAAGAGAAATGGGAACATCTTGGTGAGGAAGTCAGTAAGACAAATTAGCCAGCTATAATCACATTATTACTTTTGTGATCTTGCTGTGTACAAATTGGCAGTTGTGTTTCCAGTATTATCAAAGTGCCTGTGTGCAATCATAGAATCCTTACAGTGTGGAAGCACTGGCCATTCAGCCCATTGGATCCACACCAATCCTCTGAAGAGCATCCACCCAGACCACCCCATTACCCTAGACCTGTAATCCTACATTTCCCATGGCTAATTCACCTAGACTGTACATCCCTAGAGAGGATGACAATTTAGCATGGTCAGTCCACTTAACCTGCACATCTTTGGACTGTGGGAGGAAACTGGAGCCCCTGGAGGAAACCCACACAGACACGGGGAGAATGTGCAAACTCCACACAGTTGCCCAAAGGTAGAATCAAACCCAGGCCACTGGCGCTGTGAGGCAGTAATGCTAACCACTGAGCCACTGTGCAATTGAGATCGTAAACATGAGGATTTGATGAATTGGTTGTGCCGGTTATTTTTCTTTGTTGAGTCAGCATTTGGCCTGTGGTCAGAAACATTGTCGCTATGAATGCTAGGAACCCTGAAATGTGAGCATGAGTATCGCACTCTGAAACCTGCAATTTTATAATTCTTCCATTGCACTACTGTGTAAACGCACCATTCAGTGTAAAAATGAAGCAGTGCTGGCTAGGTGGGTCCCTGATTCAATTGCCCATCCATACTCAGTTAGCTGTTTACATCCACAGCAAAAGCTTAGAGTTCCATGGTTCTCAGAACTTGAAGGGGAAAAGTCAGCCAAACTGCCAACTCCTCTTTTGTATCCAGTGGCCTCTACTAGAAAATCCTGGGCAGGATTAGAATGGTTTTTTTTTCCTTGCCCATTCCTATTATTTCAGTTTCCTGCTGGTGCTTTCTGACAAGACTCACACAAAGAATACTTAGGTGAAGTGCCAGTAGACTGGACCTCTAGTACCAAAATTAATCTCAAGTTGACATGTTTAGGAGTGTAGGGGAGAAAGCATTCTTGTCAAATTTTTGATACTCAGATGTGTAAAGAAGTAAAAATATCTCATTGATGAGTAAATAATGAATGCTGTTGAAAATATCAAATCCCTGTTTAGTTTCACAGATTTCTTGAATTGGTTGCATCTCTTATTTGCTCTTTTCTGCAGAGGCAGCATTTACACTAATGCTGTACTGGGAACTGCTGCACTGGGAGGACAGAACCTTGCGAGAGTTCCTGCACTACCCAGCACAAACGGAGTGGCAGCGTAAAGAAGGACTATGCCGACAAGTTATCAACTACTTCAACAAGGGCAAGGCAAGTGTTTCTCTCTGGTTCTACTGTCTATATCAGGCAGTCAAAGATGAGCAAAACAGCAATTGGCGAGATATTGGGACCACTTAAAGATCAACGAGGTCATCTATGTGTGGAACCAAAGGAGATGGGAGAGATGCTGAATGAATATTTCATTTCAGTATTTACTGTGGAGAAAGACCTGAAAGTTGGTGAACTTGGGGAAATAAATATTGATGTCTTGAAAACAGTCCACAGTATAAAAGAGTACGTTCTGGTGGTCTTAAAAAGCATAAAGGTAGGTAAATCTCTGGCACATGATCAAGTCTATCTTAGGACATTGTGGGAAGTTAGGGAAGAAATTGCACGGCCCCTAGCAGAGATATTTGTATCACCTACAGCCATGAGTGTGGTGCCAGAAGACTGGAGGATGGCTAACGGCTTTAAGAAAGGCCGCAAAGAGAAGCCTGGGAACTATAGACCAGTGAGTCTCATGTTAATAGAGGGTAAGTTGTTGGAGGGGATTCTGAGAGACAGGATTTACTTGCATTTGAAGAGGCAAGGACAGATTGGGGATAGTCAGCATGGTTTTTTGTGTGGGAAATCGTGTCTTACAAATTTGATTGAGTTATTTTGAGGATGTGACAAAGAAGATAGGTAAGGGCGGAATGGTAGACATTGTCTACATGGACTTAAGAAAGGCCTTTAACAAGGCTCCACATGGTAGATTGGTTAGTAAAGTTAGGTCGCATGGGATTGAGGGAGATCTTGCCAATTGGATACAAATTGGCTTGACAGTAGGAGGGTGGTGGTGAAGAGTTGTTTTCGAACTGGAGGCTTGTGACCAGCAATGTTCCACAGGAATCAGTGCTGGGTCCACTGTTGTTTATCATTTATATAAACAACTTGGATGAGAATACAGGAACCATGGTTAGTAAGTTTGCGGAAGACAGCAAAATTGGTAGTACAGTGGACAATGAGGAAGGTTATCTAAGATTTCAAAGGGATCTTGAACAATTAGGCCAATGGGCCAAGGAGTGGCGGGTGGAGTTTAATTTACATAAGTGCAAGTTGTTGCATTTTGGTAAGATGAACAAGGACAGGACTTACTCAGTTAATGGTAGGTCCCTCAGGTGTGCTGTTGAACAGAGAGATGTAGCGGTTCAGGTACATAGTTCATTGAAAGTTGCATCACACGTAGACAGAGTGGTAAAGAAGGCTTTTGGCATGCTTGCGCTCATTGCTCAAATCATTGAGTATGGGAGTTAGGATGTCATGTTGTGGTTCTACAGGATGTTGGTGAGTCTACTTTTGGAGTACTGTGTACCGTTCTGGTTGCCCTGCTACAGGAAGGATATTATTAAATTGAAGAGGGTGCAGAAAAGATTTACAAGAATGTTACCAGGGCTGGATAAGCTGGGATTTTTCTCACTGGAGTGTAGGTGGTTGAAGGGTAACCTTATTGAGGTTTGTAAAGTCATGAGGGGCATAGATAAGGTGAATAGTAAAGTTCTTTCCTTGGGTGGGGAGTTCAAAACTAGAGGGCATAATTTTAAGGTGAGAGGAGAAAAATTTAAAAGGGACCTAAGGGGAAAATTTTTCACTCAGAGGATGGTTTGAGTGTGGAATGAACTGCCAAAGGAACCGGTGGAAACAACATTTAAAACATATTTGGACGTGTACATGAATAGGAAAGGCTTAGAGTGATATGGGCCAAACATAAGGCAAATGGGACTAGAGAAGTTTGGGAAAGTTGGTCAGGACAGGTTGGGCCGAAGGGTCTGTTTCCATGCTGTACAACTCTAAGAGCTGGCTCATTGGTCTAGGAGTATGGTTCCTATTTTGGACTATATAAGGATTGAGAATGTAAGAGATCCCAGATTCAAATCCTAGAGGAGCCATTAGGAGTTTTTAGGCCTCTACTCATTGCCTCTCATTCTTTTCAACTCCAATCTTATTGAAATATACTAGACTGTTGGGGTACTTGACTGGGTAGATATGGAAAGGTTGTTCTATTGTGGAAGAGTCTAATCCAGATAGTGAAATCTCAGAATAAGGGATCACCTATTTAAAACTGAGATGGGGAGGAATTTATTCTCTCAGTGGGCAGTGAATCTGTGGAATACTTTACTGCAAAGGGCTGTAGAGGCTGAGATCATCATGACTGAGACAGACAGATTTTTAATCAGTAGGGAATCGAGGCTTATATGGATAAGGCAGAAAAGTGGAGTTGAGGATTATTAGATTAGCCATGATCTCGTTGAATGGTAGAGAAGATTTGGTGAGTTGAATGACGTATCTTATGGACATACCATATTATAATTACTGTGTTTGAATCTACATTAGCCAAAATTTGTGATGAGTACTTTAGAGAGCTGCCAATCATCAGTAAAGTGGAGTGAGGGACACTATATCATGTTAAAGAAAATTAGTGGAGATGGTAGAGATCTGAAATAAAAACAGAAAGTGCTGGAGAAACTCAACAAATCTTTCGGGACCTGAAGAAGAGACATGGTACTCAAAACGTTAATTCTGTTTCTCCAAATATGCTGCCAGAACTGCTGAGATTTTCTAGCATTTACTATTTTATGACACTGTATCATGGCTTGCTTGGATTAAAGATAATTGATTTATCAAGTGCTGGATATTATCTTATCCTGCTAAGTATTGTATGCATTAGGATTTCAGTTAAGGGAGAGCCATAGAAAACAGATTCAGGACCCTTTCATCATTATCACTGCACTCAAATAGAAAGCTGTGAGCTGCTCTTTTTGTTCTTAGTCTCCATTTGTATCTTCCTTTAAGATTTTGTTATGATGTGGAGGTGCTGGTGAACAAAGTCAAAAATCACACACCAGGTTATAGTCCACCTGGTTTATTTAAAATCACAAGCTTTCGGAGCGCCACTCCTTCATCAGGTGCAGTGAGAGAGGGCACACAGACACACACTTAACAGACAGAGAGATCAAAGGATCATATAACTGGTGTGAGTAGAGTGAACAAACATAAAACGGCTGATGGAGAAACTCTGTTAGAAAGGAGACACAAGTTTGATTGATTAAGATGCAAATTCCAGAATCTGTTTCAAGTCATTGCCCCATAATGATTAAAGACTTTATCAGTATCTGCCTAACTTTCCAAACTTCAATCAAGCAGAGAAACAAAAAGCGACATCTCAGGTCAAACACTGAATTGTAGGTGTGCGGCCTTGTTCAGAATCTGAATTCTAACCTAGTGTCAGGCTGGTTTTATTCCAAAAGCAGGAATTTATAAAATGCCACACTAACTGACTGTGACTACTAATTGTGTGTTTTTTGACCAAAATAGAACGTATCTGCAAGTAGACAAACATTTTGAATGAAATGTTTCACCACATAGGTTTGTGTGTGTGAGAGGTGATGCTATCAAAACAGGACGGTAAGGAAGATTTTACAGAAACAGAACAGTGTGGTGGGGTCACCTGTGGCGTGACATGAACCCAAGATTACAGTTGAGGCTGTCTTCGTGGGTACAGAACTTGGCTATCGGTTTCTGCTCGCGATTCTGCATTGTTGTGTATCCCTAAGTACACCTTGGAGGACACTTACCCAAAGATTGTAAGCTGAATGCCCTTGACCGCTGAAGTGTTCCCTGACTGGGAGGGGACACTCCTGTCTGGCCATTGTTGCGCAGTGTCCATTCATCCATTTTCGTAGCGTCTGCATGTTCTCACCAATATACCATGCCTCGGGGCATCCTTGTCTGCGGCGTATGAGATAGACAACATTGGCCGAGTCACATGAGTTTCTGCTATGTACGTTGTGAGTGGTGTTCCCATGTGTGATGGTAATATCCATGTCGATGATCTAACATGTCTTACAGAGGTTGCCATGGCAGGGTTGTGTGGTGTTGTGGTAGACATTGTCCTGAAGTCTGGGTAGTTTGCTGCGAAGAATGGTCTGTTTAAGGTTTAATGGTTGTTTTAAGACAAGAAGTGGAGGCGTAAAAAACACACAATTTGTAGTCACAGTCAGTTAGTATGGCATTTTATAAATTCCTGCTTTTGGAATAAAACCAGCCTGATACCAGGTTAAAATTCATACACAGATTCTGAACAAGGCCGCACACCTACAATTCAGTGTCTGACTTGAGATGTCACCTTTTGTTTCTCTGCTTGATTGAAGTTTGGAAAGTTAGGCAGATACTGATAAAACCTTTAATTATCACAGGGCAGTGACTTGAAACAGATTCTGGAATTTGTGTCTTAATCAATTGAAACTTACATCTCTTTTCTAACGGAGTTCTCCATCAGCCATTTTATATTTGTTCACTCCACTCACACCAATTATGTTATCATTTGATTTCTACGTATAAACTTGTGTCTGTGTGCCGTCTCTCACTGCACCTGATGAAGGAGTAATGCTCTGAAAGCTTGTGATTTCAAATAAACCTGTTGGACCATAACCTGGTGTTGTGTGATTTAGGATTTTGTTAAGCTTTAGTCATATCAATCAGATGTTCACTAAAGAGATGTTACAGGTCTCTGCTTGAACTTCTTTTGATAGAGTAATGGTCAAGTAACAAAATTAAGATTCGCATGTTTGTACGAATTTCCTCTGTTATAATTTGCTGTCAACCTGTACAATGCTGTTGTGAAGTTGCTGCATTCACACCATTCTGCCTGTTTTGGGGCTGTGCCAAATTTGTATCTCCCAACTTTTTAACACGTACTGCAGACAAACTCCTGGGTTCCAATCAACTCTGTTACCCTTGTCACAAAGTTTGCTGTTTGTCCATTGATCTATATATTGTTAAAATCAGAATGTTTTGTCGCCTTGCTGAATGAGATGTTAGACTGGGTCATCTCTCAGATGATGTAAAAGATTCCACGGCACGATTGCAAAGAAGAGCAAGTGAGCTATCCTTGGTGTCCTGGCCTATATTTATCTTTCAAGCAACAACACAAAAACAGATTATCTTATTGTTGTCACATTACTGTTTGTGAGAGTTTGCTGTGTGCAAATTAGTTGCTGCGTTTCTTACATTATAACAGTGATTACACTTCAAAATTATTTTATTGGCTGTTAAATGCCTGGGAATATTCTAAGGTTTCTTTATTTTTATTTCTTTATTTTGGTTTAATTTATGTTATTCTGGAGTACTTAGACTGTCACCCAGCCTGGGTAGGAGCTGAACCATGGGTTATATCCCCAAATCTCTTTCAGCTTCAATAAACAGTACTGGACAGTTTGGGAACCTTTTTTTTTAAGTTGGTGTGTACTCCAGTAATTGTATACTCTTAAAGACATGCCTTTGAAATGTAGGTGCTGTATTATATTTGCATACCCCAGTTCAATTATATACCACAAGCCCATCCCCTCCTCCCTATCACCACTACAAACAAGTAGACTTGTCATGAAGATTGAAATTGGTGTCGTTAATATAAATTCACCTATAATTTAAAACAAAATATATCTGGAGATGAACAAACTTCTACTTTTGGTTCAATTTTCTCAGGTCTCCCATCAGTATGCAGTTTTTTTTGTCAACTGAGGTTAGCAGGCAGATATTTTCTCCCAGACTTCAACTAAATCTTTTTAGAAGTAGGTTCTAAAACATATTTGTAGATGATCTGTGTTTAATTACTTTCTGAGACTTTTACTTCTTTACGTGTGCCAAATGACCTGGCCTCATTCAGCAGCTCACATAATATCCTAATTAAATGACTCCATGTACAATATCATATTTCAAAATTATCTCCTAAAACTCAGTGAGAAGTGGAGATAAACTAATAATGGAGATGTTGAAGAATTCAGAAAAGGGTTAATTTGAAAGTGGTAAATGGAATGTCAAAGCAACAGAGCAGAGCACTGTCTGAGTAAAAAAAAAAGTACAGAATTGTTCAGAAATGGATAGTGAGAGTAACAAAGATAAATTATACATTCAGAACCCAGGTACTTGTCAGCCTGCAGCTCTAACAATTTGCTCAGTACCACTTCCCTGATGATTGTTATTTTCCTATATTCTTCCCTTCTGTCCATTTTCTGGTTTACAACTATTTCTGGAATGTTGATTGTATCCTGTATAGTGAAGACTGGTATAAAATATCTGTTTAATTCCACTACACTCTTATTATTTTGTGTTATTAATTTTCCAGAGTAACTTTGCATGGGACCAATGTTTTCTTTGTTAGCTCTTTTGGTTTTCAATATCTGTGGAAACACTTACTGTTTGTTATATTTCTACCTAGCTTTCTCCTTCTTAAAATTTTAATAATTCTTTGCTGTTCTTTATATTCTGCTTGATTGTCTAACCTGCCATCTATCCTTGTGTAATTATATGCTTTTTCTTTGAGTTTGTTAATATCTTCAACTCTTTTAGTTAGCCACAAATAATAAAAAAAACCTACTCTTGGAATTTTCCTTTTTCATTGAAATGTATTTATTCCATGTAATCTGAAATATCCCCAGAATTGTCTGCCACTGCATCTCAATTGATAAGTACTTTAATCTAATTTGCCAGTTCACTTTACATAGTTCTGCTCATGGGGCAATACGATTCAACACAGTATTACTGAGTCAAGAGTGCAGTATCAGCCAGGATTCATGGTGTTCAATAGCTGGAATCCAACTGAGTGACATAAGGCAAGCACAAAATCAGATTTTTCTGAGATGTCTCCACAGTCAAGTAGCCTGATGACATTTAGTGCCCTAGCTCACATAGTTCTAAAAACAAATTGATTTGAATGAGCAACCATAGGACATCCTGGAATAGCACTATGGGAATCAGTTAATGTGGGGTGTAGAGAAAAGGAAAAGAGACAAATCAATCTCCAGTGTTGTTGTTTGATGTTACCCAGAAAGGATGCTGTTATCTGATACGTTCTGTAATATCTGTCTCTTTTTCTCTTTCTATCTCCACTTAGTCTCTTTCTCCTTCTCATTTTTTGCCTTTCTGTCTTTATTCCTACATTTCTTTTTTTAATCTCTCACTATCTATCTATCTGTCGGTCTCTGTCTCTCTTTCTTTCTCTGTCTTTTTCTCTCTCTTAAAAAACTATTCTCCACCCCCATCTGTCTGTCTCTCACTTTCTCCATTTCTTTGCTGGTCTGTCTGACTCTTTTGTTCCCCCGTTATCCTGCTCTCTTTACCAGTCACTCTCCAAATTATGACTAATTTGGAAGATAGAAAAGAGTAATTGATTTCTGCCTTTCCCTTGACACCACTGACTGCTTGCTTTAATTAGGCACTGCCAGCACCAGACAACTTTCTCAGCAATTTATGTAGACAATGAACAGTCAAAGGGCATCCCAACCATTATCGATCGTAGCACTCCTACTACCACCTAAGGAAACCAAATCCTAGGACCTTACAATCAATGTAATTCTTTTGCATAATAAAATGAAAAGCAAAATGCTGCAAGGTTCTGAAAAAAGGTGATTGAACTGAAACATTATTCCTACCTTCCTGGCTCCATAGATTCTGCCAGACATGCTGAGTGTTCCTAATTTTTTTTTTGATTTTAGTTTAATTACATGTAGGCTTTATTGGAACAGGCAACAGGGAATCTGTCTGCTCACTGATTCATAATTTAAATAGCTTTCCTTATATATCTCAGGAGTGTCCAAACTTCATGACCTTTGTGTGCTGCTTAGGTGTGTAACCACAGAGACTCAGCCAATGTTTCCATTAATTTGCCATGTATCACAAGCTGTGACTGCAGACAATTTGTGTACAGCAAGATCCTATAAACTGCAATGATAATGACCAGATATCTGTTTTAAGCGTTGGGTTGAAGATTAAATTTAGGATTTACCCATCAATAAGATAAATCTCCAGTCTCAGAATTTTCAAACCAGCAATTACAATAAAACAAATCATTTAAAATAGAAACAGAGTTACCTGGGTTACTAGGGCTCAGGAGTTGCAGTCTCGATACCCTTAGTCTATCTGAATCCAGGACCCATCATTCCTCCACAAACCATACATTATTCTGCAAGTCTTAATTAATCCTGCTGTCAGAAATTAGTCTTTGTTCTAATTATGTCTTTTTTGAGTATTTCTATATTTAGTTTGAACTCACTCAATTTTTATTTTGTCCACAGTGCTGGGAGTATGGAATTCCACTCTGTCGGGAGCTGGCCAGTCAATACGAGGCCCTCTATGATTACCACAGTCTCAGCTGGATCCGGGTATGTAATGCAAAACCATTCATCATACCACTTCCTTCTTAATGAAATGAATTTTAATTAAGACTAATTTTATATTGGACATCTGTAATTGACAGTGAAGAGTCTGAGGAAACATCTGCAATTTAATCAAAAGTACACAGAGCAATGTTGTCACAAAGACATTAAATGTGACATTACATATTGATGCTGACCGCACACCTTTTCAAAATTTGATATGCATTGGTAAATAAGACATGCCATTGGTAGGTAGTCCTGTGCAGAATGTTGGGCAATTCCCCACTCTATAAGGGCAAAATATTTTGTTGGAGTAACAGTTTTGAGACACAGACTCCCAGCAGAGAGGCTGCAACAGGGTTTTCCTTCCAAAGGAACCACACACAACTTCCAATGTGATTGTACCAGTTACCACACTGATCAGCATGAAACTACACCCAACACACAGAAAGATCTCAGATTCAATCCCGTACCTGCCTTGGTTCAGTAAGCTTCAACACTTAGTTTCCAAAACTCTACAAATCAATTGATCTAGCCTTTTCTGAGAGAGTGTGCTGGAAAATTTTACTCCTATACATCAAGGCTATGATAGTGAACTCAAGAACTGTTCCATTAAGTGTGTTAATCAATTATCGATCCTGCACAAGGGTGCCATTGCCTGAAGCCGGAAGACTGCTTTTTAGTGAGAAAGTTCCAGATTTCTATCACCTTTTGTGTGACAACATACCTTCTGAAAATACCTCTGCATGTCCTAGCTCTAATTTTAAGGTTATTCTTAATTCTGAATTCTTCCTAGAGAAACTAGTTTCTCTTAATCTGCCTTATTATCACCTTTAAACATCTTAAACATCTCATAGATCACCTTTAAATGTTCTTAACAGAATATGAGCTTATTCTATGCAACTTTTCTAGATCGAAAACTGACAGGCACGAGAGTTCTGATTTTTAATTGTATCTCTCCTCCTCTAACCGGCAGTACTGGGGTCAATCCCATTGTTTTACCCATTATCCTCAGCAGTATTCATTTACTCAATGCACATGGGACTGGAATATTCCCTAGTAAGTGGATCAAACCCACACAGCAAGGGATGGACACCTTGAATGGAATGTAATTTAACATGATAAGCCTTTGAAATTATTAATGCAGCTGTTGACCCTACAAATACCCATAGTGCCATCAAAGGCATTTCCAGAACAGTCTCCTGCCACCTGTATTCACTGTAACTTTGATTTGTGAGTGGAAATGTTTTCTCATGATAATTTAAAAAAGCCAGTTAAAAATGCTGCTTTCATTCCAAAGGGAGAATGCATTTAAGCAGTGATTCTAGGATCTTGCTGTCCCAGGAATATTTATATTCAGAAATAGCTACAACTGTCTTACCTGCAGTCCCTGAGTGCAGGCTGGTAGGTTCACCCCTTTATATTGGCATGGAAACGATCCGTATAATCATCCTTTTTATAAGTAAAAGTACCCACTGTGTTCCGTAAACCATGTGGACCAAAAGGTTCAAGGCTTTTGCCATGTGAACAAGGAAAGGCCAAATCATCCATGCTTTCTGTACCTGGACAATATATGTATTGTATTGCAACTAATATATTTTGTTAGGTTAGAGTATTGTTATGACCTCAGTTGATGTTTCTGGGGCGGCACGGTGGCTCATTGGTTAGCACTGCAGCCTCACAACGCCAGGGACCCAGGTTCAATTCCAGCCTCGGGCGACTGTCTGTGTGGAGTTTGCACATTCTCCCTGTGTCTGCGTGGGTTTCCTCCGGGTGCTCCGGTTTCCTCCCACAGTCCAGAGATGTGCAGGCTAGGTGGATTGGCCGTGCTAAATTGCCCGTAGTGTTCAGGAGTGTGTGGGTTATAGGCGGATGGGTCTGGGTGGGATGCTCCAATGGTCGGTGTGGACTTGTTGGGCCAAAGGGCCTGTTTCCACACTGTAGGGATTCTATGATTCTAGACCAGTCAGATCCCAGAATGAAATCTGGTATGAGAGATCAAATATTATTTTTTCTTTAATTTAACATGGCAGTCTTTTACTGAAACATAAGCACACAAGACTACAGATGTGTTTTTACCAATAAAATAGAAGTTTATTACGCAAGAGAGATAAAAATAAAACAAAAACCATCTTGAAATTTTGAAAAATTTAAAAATCAAGACAAAACAAAATCCCAAGTAAAAACAGTAAGTGCTGGAGATACTCAGTTGGGCTGGCAGTATCCGTGGAGAGAGAAACATTGTTAATGCTTCAAGTTCAGTATGACTTCTTCAGAACTGAAAGCAGCTGGAAATCTCCAACACCATCACTTTGTTGTTACTCAGACATCCAGAGAAATTCATTCTCTGTTAGATCTGTAGGCTTTACATGACTGTTTTTTCTCAGTTCCTGCCCTGTGAGTTGCAAGGCTTTTTTCTTTTGACCACTCATACTTCCTTATAAGGAGCTTATTCTTCCTCAGCCCTTTAATAATTTGCAAAATTCCAACCAAACACTTCTGGTCTGAATGTTTTCACAAACTACACCCTTTACTTACACTGAGGTAATTTATTCCCTTAACTGCTCTGAACAATCTCCTTTTCTAGGAGAAACTATTCTTGCATTTGATCCCAGTCAGGTCTTATACAAACTGAACAAAAGCTTTCCCATTTCTCAGTTCCTGTAAACTAAAATCAAGCCATGATTATTCTAAATCCAAATATTTCAATAATTTCTCTCTCTTATTGTAAAACTCCACGATATAAACAAACTTGCATTAACACTTCAGTCACCTGCTGTCTGATTTAAAGTCATGTGTCTGGAAAATCTGATTTAGTTAATTATTAAACCCCTTTCAAAAAAAGACCAACACCTATAAGCTACTAGTTGGCAATCTAAGCTCTTAAACAAAAAATGAATACATATAAATCACATACCTTTAATCATGATTTCGTGATCTAATCCATGATTGGATGGCAGTACAGGTTCAATAGCTGCCTGCTGTTCTGTGTAGAGTAGGTTCTGTCTAGGATCAAACTTGGTAGTGATGCCCACGAGCATTGATCAACCTCATGAAAACTACTGTCTAAATTCTAATACTGACCACGTACCTGAGGAGGTTGAAGGGCTGTCTGTGCCTACAGAAGACATATGACATAGGAGCAGAAATTAGGCCATTCGGCTCATCGAGTCTGCTCCGCCATTCAATCATGGCTGATACGTTCCTCAACCCCATTCTCCCGCTTTCTCCCCATAACCCTTGATCCCCTTGATAATCAAGAACCTATCTATCTCAGTCTTAAAACAGTCTGAGAACTGTATCTTTTGCGAGTGAATGCCTAAAGTAAAGGACAGTCAGATTGTTACTGAAGTTATATAAATAGAATGCTATTTATTCAAACCATTGTCATTACTTTCAGTGTTGCAGTATTCCAGGATTGGCCCCTAACCACTAGTTTTTCTTCATTATTAATAGAAAATGGAAGCCGCATATTACGACAACATATTGGAGCATCAGCGTCTGGAACCAGAATTCTTTAGGGTTGGGTTTTACGGTAGGAAGTTTCCATTTTACCTACGTGTGAGTACAATCCTATTTATTAATTTTCATGCCAGTGTACCTTTTCAGAGGTTTATTTGTTTTCCAAAATATTGAATTGTTCTGAAAAATCATGGAAAAGTAAAGATAACGAAAGTAATTCGGTTCCTTGTAGCTCAGTCTTCTAGGCATAAGCTAAAATGTTCCTTCCTTTCTTGTCGCATCCATATTTCTTAAGTGTTAGCCTATGTTTACTTGACCTATCAAATATTATTTTCCCTGTAATTTCAAAAAGATCTCAATAATAAAAGTCACAGTGCTTCAAAGATGAGTGAAGCTTGAGTCTGGACTCCACAACAGATTGTGAGATTGAGTTTGATTGCACAGGTGTAGAAAAGTTTGACTTTGCTTGAATTATGTCTCTATAAGATTATGAAACATTTTTTCTGTAATTTGTTTTGCCAGTGAATCGGTGTTTATTTTCACAACAGTAAAATGTGTTGAAGGCCTCAGTTATTTATACTTTAATGATCTGTTCAATTGGCATCTTTATACAGTTTAATAAATGGGCGGTTTTTTTTCTAAGCAATTTCACACATGCCAGTGTAGCTGTAGGTGCATTGCTTCTGTACATAGTATATATTGGCAAGTGGTCATAGAGGGTATAAGAGTCATTGAAGTGGATGAGAGGCATGAGTTAGCATTGATTTAGCATGAGGATTTTAAGAGGCCATGAGGGACTGAAGTGGGAATGAGTTGGCATTGGAGGTAAAAGGGACCATGGGGCTAGGAGGGGGCATAGGTAGGCATTGATGTGTGTGCAAAACAGGGGTAAAATGTTTTATACTTCCCTTTCAAAAGGTTCCTGAATCCGAACTGTGGTTCACAACTCCTCGGAGACCTGTGAACCACAATTCGCAAAAGAGATGTTCACATCTCAGGAGAATAATGATGAAATCGAAGACTCCAATCCCCACATTCCTGGCCAGGTCAGGAATACAGGTGAATTTGCCATTATTAGTGCACTAAAATCCCACCCTCTGTTCTTCACAAAGCAAGCATTAGGTCAGAAATGTGCTGTTCCTGATGGTGTAACCAGAGTTGTGTGCCAGACCCAGTCTCTAGCTTTTTCCCATTTCCCACATGATTATAATTAAAAATGAAAGTGGCACCGAAGTGCACAGGAGACATGTGGGATCTCACAGCAGAAAAAGCTTTTCAGTGGGGAAATCCCACCATCAACTGAAAATCCTGTAGCCACTGCCAGACTATGAAAGAGCCTTCAGGGGAGGTGATGCATCATAGCCATAACTTTTCTGCCCAACTCAAATACCATTAACATAAGACCAGAGAGCACAAATGTGGCAAGGGTATTTTTCAAAATTAAATCCCACTCATAGATATTTCATATTACATTCATTTTATTCACACTGGCATCATCATTATTTATTGAGACTGTTTATTCCAAAGAACTAAATGTACTGGCACACCTTATTGACACACATCAATTGTTGCAGGGCAATCAGGGACAGTTCTCATGTGGGAGAAATAATATTTGTAAATGACATTGTTCATTCAAGCCCATTCTCAGTGGGGTTAATTGAAATGTTGTGGTGAACCCAAAGGCTGTAAGGACTCTGCCATCCAATACCCCTGAGTTGGACATACATTTGGACAATACTGACACCAACCTTTAGGCTCCTACTTTTCTTACCTTAACTTGCTGTTCCCACCACCTACCCTTACCTCAAAATCCCAAGACCTTACCGTTTCACTTCTCCAGCCCCTCAAATCCACCTTCCATTTGCCCCTGGATCTTTTTTCCACTCTTCCATGCCTTGACCTCACTCCATATCATCCACTGCCCCCATCACCACGCTCACCTCTTCAAGTTGTGAGACTCCATGCAAACGTATTCCCTTGCTTCCCTTGTGCCATCGAGTTAGACAAGGAAAACTGCTGACATTGCATGCAACCACACAAAGTCAGCTACTGCATGCAACCTCTAAACAAACATAAACCCAATAACAAGATCTTCGTATGCCACTATCTTTAAGGGTGGACATAATATACAGAAGTTTTATGCTCATGTGTTTATGGAATACAAACATATTACTAGCACGAACCTGCTACAGGCAGGAGTGAGCCTCAGTGCACTGCAAACTCACCACTGACTTTATCTCTGCATCTCAATCTTCCATTGAGAAATTGAGATTTCAGGACCCATCTGATTCTGTCAAACCACTCACCACATTTCACTCTTGCATATAATACAACATAATCCTTCCCATAAAATCCCATACCTGTCCTTTCCTACCTGAATAGTTTTTTTACTGATGACACTGTATGAACTCTCTGCCTTTCCATCTCAGGCAACTTCTTTGTATTCTACTTTCGATCATTGCGTATACAGCTGCAACACTTTACCTAATCTTCAATTTCATCTTCCTCTCTGAGAGTCAGGAATCCCTTGTTTTGCCCTTTACCCCAACTCAAATCTCTCCAACCTGCTTTTCCCTCATGCTCAACATCTCATTCTTTCTTTCCTCATCAGTATTTCCAGTTATCTTGCTTCACGTGGATTTTTTTTCAAAATTATGCTTTATTCATAAAATTTTCAGACGTACAGAACATAATGGTTTAGGTTTGACATTAAGTGTGATACAATTCAATTTCTTTAGGTACTGTAAATGGCATTCTGAAATGCCTCATTGCATCTACAATTAAAAGTTATATTTACAATGTAAATTCTGTATCAAACATTTTTGGGGTTGTGCATGGACTACAACCCTCAGTGTAGCATGGCAAGAGAGTCTTAGGCTATGGCCTTTTTCCACTAAGCTTTTGGAGTGCTGCGCCAAGTTTTGTTGTGTTCTTCACTATATGGTCTTGAAGTCTGCAATGTTCCAGTCGGCAACGTTTAGTTATGTACAGCTCCTTGCACTAGAAGATCGATAAGCGTTGGGTAACCAAGCAACATCTTTTGTCAAATTGTTGGTCTTCTAGCAGCAGTTGATGTTTGTCTTGACATACATCTCTCTGACAGCACAAAGGGTACAGGGTCCTGTGTTATGGAGTGCTTGTGATAAACCTCAACAAAAACCACTGCATCTCTCCCAGGCCTTCTTTGCAAAGGCACACCACAGTCATTTTGTGATGGCAATGAAACTCCAGCTGCACATGAAGAATCTAACAAAGGGGCCCTTCTCACCACCAGCAAAGCTAAGTTTTGCGGCTCACTCAGTTTTGTTTTCTGAATATGAGGAGTGCTGTAGAACTATAAGTTGTAGAATTAGGACAACGTTGGAAAGATCAGTCCATTGTCTCAAAATGTCTCTTTACATTTTGCTCTTTATATTTTTGTGTCCACGAGTCTGTCAGAATGCAACTCAGTATCCACATGTCTGTGATTTCATATATGTCTTTCTATGACTGAAAATATATTCTTCATGTTCATTAGTGAACATTATTAGAAGACCATCAAGTCTTTTAGTGAAGAATACACCAAGATTAGAATGCTTTGGTAGAGACTGTTTATTACTTGCCACAGAGCTTATGTCTCCACACTGAACAAACCCTGTCCACCACCCTTGTGCTGGCTGGTTCGTCTTTATATATGCATCTAAATAAATTTTCTATCTATCTGGTTGGTCATTAATCCCAAAGTGAGACTTGAGCCCACATCTTCTGGCCATTGTGCCACAAGACCATATTATACACATGTAAGTATAATTAACTAATCAGTACCCAACATCTATTTACCTTATTACCTTCAACTGCTATGTATTTAAAATCTGTCAGATTGATGCTAATGTTTATTACAGTTATTGTAACTGTGTATCTGGATGTATGTATACTGTGTGTGTATACTGCATATCTGGGATGTCGTGTACACATAAATTTCTGTGTCATTGCATGTGCTCGTATGTACTGAATGTACTTCTGTGTCTGTATATGCTCTTCCAAGAGTGTGCTAAATGTGTAGTGTGTGCTGTGTGCTATGTTTCTGTGTGTATGAGGATATATGTTTTGAATGCCTGCTGAGCCTGCTTGTGTTTAAGTAAAATACCATTCATAGCCCTTGTGGTTAGACTGCCCTCCAGTGGTCTGTATGGTTAGTACAGTGAAGGTTTTCATGTCCAAAATGGCAGCTATACTTCAAATAATGTTATGAACCAAGTAACACACTTGGAACTGTGCATCTTCAGAATAAGGTGCACATGCCCGCATGAAGACGTACAAGTCAATTTCCCTGATAAATTCAGAAAAAGCGAATATTACATTATGGGGTGGAATTTATATTGCATCTGAAGTAATAATTTTCTGGGCATTCTATGTGAAAGCATGATGGTACATCCTACATTATTTTTGCAATAATAATAAAAAATTTACAATGGACAGATGTTCTGCAGCACACAGAAATATTATATTAGCTGTTGAGTACAATTTTTATTCTCTCAGCTGTTGTTGTGTTTGCTCTTGGAAACATTGTTTTGATGTATTTGTAACACGTAATTTTATTTAACAGCATGACTCTTAACTATACAATGTTTTTATAAAGGTATAAATTCTGAGCAAGTGTCTGGATAGCACACTGCATTCACAGTTTACTGTTTCAATTCCAAAATCTGGGAAAGGTCCATCACAGATAGATTTCATCATTGTTTGTACGGTCTGCCACAATCTGTAAGAGACCAATGTGACAATCTGGGGAGTTTCGTTCCAGATTCTTCAGGAGATATACAAACTTTACATTCAAAGTAAGGAATAGAAGTGTGACATCCTAGATTGTAAGGAGAACCAATCTCAGGCCAGCAATGTTGTTAGAATTTTGGGAGCATCTAGAGGAGTTTTACTCTGTATCTAACTCTGCAGTATCTGTCCTGGGAGTTTTCAATGGGGACACTAAAGGAACCTTTATTTGGTGTCTAACCCTGTGCTGTATCTGCTGGTGGAGTGGTTCATGGGAACACTGTAGAGGAAGCTTTACTCTGCATCTAGTCCATCTAGTATGTAATTTGGGTGTGCTCAGAGTTGACACTGGATACCTGAAATGTGTTCAATTCGCCAATAATAATACACACTCATTTTATCCCTGATATTATATGAGAGATTTAAAAATCTGATTTTCAAGATTTGCTATCATTCTGAATCCCCACTGTTAGAATTCAGTTGTCATTTTTAGCAGTGGTCCTCAACTTTCTGCTCATTCTAAATAATTCGGCAAGGAACTTTTCTTTCTGCCATACTGTCAGATGTCAAGCCCTTTGGCTTCTGCTGTAGTGTTGGGTGTGTTGTCCCAATCCCTCATTATTTATCGATATTTATCCCTCGGTAACATCTCTAAAATAGATTATCTGGTTATTATCACAATGTTGTATTTGCAATATTCCAGTGCGCATATTGGCTACTGTAGTTTCAACAATACAACAGTGGCTATACTTAACAAATCCATTGGCTGTACAGTCCTTGTTATGAGCTCCTAAGGTCTTGAGAGGGACCACAGAGATACAAGATCTTTCCCCACCTATTGGCTCACTACAACAGTTGCACTTTCCTTTATCTTTGATCTTTACCAATATATGATTAATACCTGAAATTATTCAGGTAAAGCGATACTGAGCCACATGTGCCGAAGTTCAATCCTCAGTCTACTGGTGATTATGTTGACCTCAAATAGGTGGCGAGAGGAACACAACAGTTGGCTTCAGCCTCTAATCATCATTCTTTCTTCACTCACCAACCATACATATCAGCTCATAGGAACAGGAGTAGGCCTCAAGTCTGTTCCACCAATTTGGTGATATCATGGCAGATCTGTGGCCTAACTCCATGTAGCTGCCTTTGGCCCATATCCCATAATACCTTTGCTTAACAAAAAGTTGTCTATCTCAGATTTAAAATTAAGAACTGATCCTGCATCCACTACCATTTGTGGAAGAGAGTTCGAAACCTCTACCACCGTTTGTGTGTACAAGTGCTTCGTAATATCTCTCCTGAATGGTCTGGCTCTAATTATCAGACTAAGTCCCCTAGTTCTAGAATCCTCACCAGTGGAAGTAGTTTTTCTTTATCGACCCTGTCTTTTCCTGTTAATATCTTGAAGACTTTGGTTAGATCAGTTACCCTTTTAAATTCTAGAGAAAACAGGCCTAATTTGTGTAATCTCTCCACATATCAACTCCTTAAATCCAGGTATCATTCTTGTAAACCTAGATTGTACTCCCTCCAAGGCTAATCTATCATTCCTAAGGTGTGGTGCCCAGATCTGCTCTCAGTGCTCTAAGTGAGGTCTGACCATGGTTTTGTATAAGTGGTGCATAACTTCAGCATCCTTGTAGTCCAATCCCCTAGATATAAAGGCCAGCATTCCATTAGCTGTCTTTATTATTTTCTGCATCTATTCATGACATTTTAAAGATCTATTCACCTGACGTCCCACGTCTCTTCGGACGTCAGCTGTATTTAACTTCATACCACCTAGAAAGTACCCTTTAATCAATCCAAGATGGACAATCTCACAGAGATAGCAGGAACTGCAGATGCTGGAGAATCTGAGATAACAAGGTGTAGAGCTGGATGAACATAGCGGGCTGAGCAGGAAGGCTGATGTTTCAGGCCTAGACCCATCTTCAGAATTTTCTGAAGAAGGGTCTCGGCCCGAAACATCAGCCTTCTTGCTCCTCTGATGCTGCTTGGCCTGCTGTGTTCATCCAGCTCTACACCTTGTTATGGACAATCTCACAATTGCTTTCATTGAAAACAAGGCATGTAACATTCCATAGGGAGATAAAGAAAAAGGAGGAGGCACGAGGAAGAAGAAAATTAACTTTGTGGCAATACTGGAGGAGCTTGATTCATGTGCTAGTATTCATCCCAGTTATAAGCTGCCTTTCTGGTTAAAACCAGTGTTAATCAGAACACCAGCAAACACAAGCAAGAAATCAATCATCAACCATGTCTCCATCTCCTTGTCCTGTGATACTGTTGGCTGATATAAGGAAATTCAATTATATTTTTTAATCATTTGCTAATTCTATTATTGCTTATGAAAAATGTGAAGCATGCATCTTTTTAATTTACATTTTTTTTACTATTTGCTACAAAGATATATACACAGCTTCTTCACAGCAATTGCTTACCCCCAAGAAAATGATAGGCCCATAGCAGAACCTGAACCACTTCAACATGCTGCAGGTTATTCAGTGCTTTGGCAATTTATACCCTTACAGGCAATCTTGTCCTTTGGATCAAATTTCTTGCTTTTAAATATAGTGTGAGGTGGTGATACTTGTCACTCTATTGATGTCATCTGCTTAAATATGTAATCACTGACTTTTATAATGTGGCATTTGCCTTGTATTTGGCAGTGCCCACCATCTCTGTGTTTGTGCATTAATAAATTGCTGTCAGGCTGTTGCTGAATATTAGTTTTGTTTATATATAAGATAGCATTGTAGTTCAGAGCCACCAGATGTTCACAGCCTGCAACTACAGCATCACTCAGAGCTATGTATGGAAGAAATACTAACATAACCGAAATGGCAGTTTGTACAACTCATGACTTTTAGATTTGTTTTTATGTCAACAACAAAAATTGAAGTTTGCAGATAGGAAGTGCATTGTCTAATATTTAACAGACTTTATCATTTGTATCTACGTATCTAGATTATTTAGTTGTATTGAGCACAGCAACCCAATGTATTAATTTTTTAGGTACCAACAGACTGACTGTGTATAAGAGATAACAAGGTGTAGAGCTGGATGAACACAGCAGGCCAAGCAGCATCAGAGGAGCAGGAAGGCTGACGTTTCAGGCCTAGACCCTTCTTCAGAAATGGGAGAGGGGAACGGTGTTCTGAAATAAATAGGGAGAGAGGGGGAGGCGGATAGAAGATGGATGGAGGAGAAGATAGGTGGAGAGGAGACAGACAGGTCAAAGAGGCGGGGATGGAGCCAGTAAAGGTGAGTGTAGGTGGGGAGTTAGGGATGAGATAGGTCAGTCCAGGGAGGACGGACAGGTCAAGGGGGCGGGATGAGGTTAGTAGATAGGAGATGGGGGTGGAGCTTGAGGTGGGATGAGGGGATAGGTGGGAGGAAGGACAGGTTAGGGAGGTGGGGACAAGCTGGGCTGGTTTTGGGATGCGGTAGGGGGAGGGGAGATTTTGAAGCTTGTGAAGTCCACATTGATACCATTGGGCTGCAGGGTTACCAAGCGGAATATGAGGTGCTGTTCCTGCAACCTTCGGGTGGCATCGTTGTGGCACTGCAGGAGGCCCAGGATGGACATGTCGTCTGAGGAATGGGAGGGGGAGTTGAAATGGTTCGCGACTGGGAGGTGCAGTTGTTTAGTGTGAACCGAGCGTAGGTGTTCCGCAAAGTGGTCCCCAAGCCTCCACTTGGTTTCCCCAATGTAGAGGAGGCCACAACGGGTACAGCAGATACAGTATACCACATTAGCAGATGTGCAGGTGAACATCTGCTTGATGTGGAAAGTCTTCTTGGGTCCTGGGACGGGGGTGAGGGGAGAGGTGTAGGGGCAGGTGTAGCATTTCCTGCGGTTGCAGGGAAAAGTGCCGGGTGTGGTGGGGCTGGAGGGGAGTGTGGAGCGGACAAGGGAGTCATGGAGAGAGTGGTCCCTCCAGAAAGCAGATAAGGGTGGGAAGGGAAAAATGTCTTTGGTGGTGGGGTCGGATTGCAGATGGCGGAAGTGTCGGAGGATGATGCGTTGGATCCGGAGGTTGGTGGGGTGGTACGTGAGGACGAGGGAGATTCTGTTTTGGTTGCTATTGCAGGGAGGGGGTGTGAGGGATGAGTTGCGGGAAATGTGGGAGACACAGTCGAGGGCGTTCTCAACCACTGAGGGGGAGAAGTTGCGGTCCTTGAAAAACGAGGACATCTGAGATGTACGGGAGTGGAATGCCTCATCCTGGGAGCAGATGCGGCGGAGGTGAAGGAATTGGGAATAGGGGATGGCATTTTTGCAGGAAGGTGGGTGGGAGGAGGTGTATTCTAGGTAGCTGTGGGAGTCGGTGGGCTTGAAATGGATATCAGTTTACAGGTGATTGCCAGAGATGGAAACAGAGAGGTCCAAGAAGGAGAGAGAGGTATCAGAGATGGTCCAGGTGAACTTAAGGTTGGGGTGGAAGGTGTTGGTGAAGTGGATGAACTGTTCGAGCTCCTCGTGGGAGCATGAGGCGGCACCAATACAGTCATCAATATAACGGAGGAAGAGGTGGGGTTTAGGGCCAGTGTAGCTACGGAAGAGGGATTGTTCCACGTAACCTACAAAGAGGCAGGCATAGCTTGGGCCCATACGGGTACCCATGGCCACCCCTTTTGTCTATAGGAAGTGGGAGGAATTGAAAGAGAAGTTGTTGAGGGTGAGGACGAGTTCGGCTAAGCGGATGAGGGTGTCTGACTGTATATTTCCTTTTCTTGTCATTTTAGATGTTCTTTAGACTGTAAGTTCTTCTTTTCATCCTTTTGTGTGATGCTGATTATTTCTTCCATCTGAATCTTCCGTTATGTTCTTTCTATTGACATCAGAATAAGGAGTTTGTGTGTCGTGGTCATGATTATGAAAGGCTGGAGGCCTTTCAGCAGAGGATGCTGACTGAATTTCCACAAGCTATTGCCATGCAGCATCTCAATCAGCCAGATGAAACCATCCTGCAGTCTGACGCACAGTGTATCCTTCAATCTTGAGCTGGTTGTGGCTGCGAAGAACTCATCATCACAACCCAGAAGGTCCTAGGTTTAGTTCAGTGCATTGTTCAGCAACAGTATAGGGACATTACCATTGCCCTCAACTACCATGAGAGAAGAGTAAATAAATCAGGGTTCCTTGTATTGGCCCCTGCCCAATGTAAGAAATCAAACTTAGTCGTAATGCCCTCTATGGAAAATGGCCAGACAACACTCACTGACTAGTTAAACACATGAAGCGAAGTCAGTGTAAGGTAACCAGGGACTGCAAATGTCCATGGAATCAGGTGCCAGCAAATGGCACCACTTTCAGGAGAGAAAGAGGGAAAATTGGAAAAAGCACTGTTAAGCAATAAAAATGGAAAATGCAGGAAATATTCAGCAAGTTAAGTGGCAACTGTGGAGAGAGAAACTTTTCATCAGAACAATCCACCTGATCTGCTGAATATTACCAGCATTTTCAATTTTTATCTCGGATTTACAGCATCTGTAATATTTTGTTTTTTGTAACTGATTATCAACCTGAATGAATTTAGGAATGGTAACAGCATAGTAGTAATGTCCCTGAATTGTAATCCAGAACCCCAGGCTGATGGTCTGAGGAGAGATAGTAGGAACTGCCGATGCTGGAGTCTGAGATCACAAGGTGTGGAGCTAGAGGAACACAGCAGGCCAGGCAGCATCAGAGGAGCAGGAAAGCTGACGTTTCGGGTCCCAACCTTGTTATCTATGATGGTCTGAGGACATGGGCTCAAATCCCACAATGGCAAATGGTGAAATTTGAATTTAATAAAAGTCTGGAATAAATAGCTGGTCTAATGGTGACCATGTAACCACTGTTGATTGTTGTAAAAACCCATTTGGATCATTAGTGTCAAAGGGGAGAAAACCTTCCATCTTTACCTGGTCTGGCCTCCATGTTACTCCTGACCCACAGCAATGTGGTTGACTCTTAATCAGGGAGGGATAATAAATTCTGGCCTGCTAAGTGACACCCGCACCTCATGAACAAATTTTTTAAAAACTAATGCTGCCTGTCTGTTAACTAGAGAATTTAGTGATGATTGTAATTACCAATTGTAGACCTTGTTCATGAAAGGTCATGAAGAAGAGTAGATTTTGCTGTGTTATTTCCTTTGACATTGTGGTTAGATCTGCAAATTTATGCAGTGTGCCCAATTCCAGAGAATGTAGAAGTTCTCCAGATGGAGAGAGTTCCAGACCGTATCAAGAGCTTTTACCGCGTAAACAATATCAGCCGCTTTCGATATGATAGACCCTTTCATAAAGGTTCAAAGGACAAGGAGAATGAGTTCAAGGTGAGTGTAATATGCAACCACTGATCCCATACCCTCTCCCACTCTTCATGAGGAGTGGAAGGAAAAATTGACATAACTGGCTTACTCTATGCTGCAAGAAACTCATATTTGTTGTTTATAATATGATGCTGCACAGGAAGTAGTAATGACATTTATTGATGAAGGCCATCAAATGGAGGTAGTCATCCATGAAATGTGCTGCTATAAGTCTTAGCAAAACTGGAGAATATGAAACAAAAATAGAAAATGCGTTCAAGCCCAGCAGGTTTGGTAGCATCTCTGCGCAAAGGGGGAAAACAAACGTAAAATTAAGTAAAAGTTGGAAATGAACACACTGGACCTCCTGGGAGCTGTACTTTAAAGTTAACAAGACGAACCAAGTGTTAATCAAGTGTTTTTGAGCTTGAAAGGTTTGAAATGAACAACAAAATCATGGGTAAACTTTAGGAGGTTGAGAGGTGACGTTTTAAAGATTTATTAGATCATGAGGGGCATAGATAAGGTGAAAAGCAAAGGTCTTTTCCCTTGGTTGGGGGAATTCAAAACTAGGGGGCATTTTTTAAGGTGAGAAGAGAAAGATTTAAAAGGGACCTGAGGGGCAACATTTTCACACAGAGTGGTTCATGTATGAAATGAACTGCCAGAGGAAGTGGTAGATGCAAGTAGTTATAACATTAAAAAGACATTTTGACAGGAACATTAATTGGAAAGGTTTAGAGGGATATAGGCCAAACGCAGGCAAGTGGGACTAGGTTAGTTTGGGAAACTTGGTCAGCATGGACAAGTCGGACTGAAGGATCTGTTTCCGTATTACAGGACTCTGTTTCGTTGTAGAAAGTTTAGAGAAGATTGTTAGGATGATCCCTGGTATGGAGGGATTGTCTTACAAGCAAAGACTAAACAGGTTGGAACTCTACTCACTAGAGTTTAGAAGAATGAAAAGTGATCTCATTGAAACATATAAGATTCATAAGTAGCTTGACATAGTAAATGCTGAGATGATGTTTCCCCTCGTGGGAAAGTCTTAGACCAGAGGGTATAGTCTCAGAATACAGGGGCGTCAATTCAAGACTGAGGAAGCATTTCCTCTGAGGGGTTTGAGAGTTTTTGGAACTCCTTGCCACAGAGACCTATAAAGGCAGAGTCCTTGTGTGTATTTAAGAGTAAAATGGATAGATTTTTGACCAGAAGAGGAATCAAGGGTTATGGGGAACGAACAGAAAAGTGAACATGAGGAATATTGTATCAGCCATGATTCTATTGAATGGCAGAGCAGGCTCAAGGGACCGAATGGCCTATACTTCTTCCCATTTCCTATGACCTAATGAAAGAAATGCTGGCGTTAGAGACAGTCCAGAAAAGGTTCACTAGTCTCATCCCAAGGTTAGAGGGACTATCTAATGAGGAGAGGTTAAGTAGGTTGGGCTTGTACTCATTAGAGTTTTAAAGAAAGAGACACAACCTTGTTGAAACACATAAGATTCTGAGAGGGTTTGACAGGATAGATTATTTCCTGTTGTGAAGAGTCTAGGATCAGAGGGCATAATCTCAGAGTAAGGGGTTGTCCATTTAAGACCGGGATGAAGATTTTTTTTCTTTCATAGGATAGTGAATCTGTAGAATTCTTTACTGCAGAGAACTGTAGAGGCTCAGTAAGTATATTCAATGCTGAGATAGACAGATTTCTGATCATCAATGGAATCAAGGACTGTGGGGATAAGGCAGGAAAGTGAAACGGAAGATTATTGATCAGCCATCATTTAATTGAATGGCAGAGCAGAGTCACTGAACCGAACAGCCTAATTCTGCTGCCACCATCTTATGGTGTAATACGTTTCGGAGTCATCTGATCATAGTAGGTCATAGTAGGTTAGGTTAACATTGTCCCCAGAATTTGTAGAAAATATGACGTACTGCAAGTGTGTGTGTGTGTAATATTCTGTAACCTGTGTGTATGGAGGAGAAAGTTACTGGGCCTACATATACTGGGGTGACGCAACATGCTGGGCCACAGTGAATTCAGTACTGGTAAAAGTTTGTCTCAGTAATGATTTTGCATCATCATCTGCCCTACTGTAGAGTCTTTGGATTGAACGTACTACCCTGACCCTTACACACAATTTGCCTGGAATTTCCCGCTGGTTTGAAGTGGAGAAGAGAGAGGTGGTAAGTTCCTATTTCCTGTTTCTATGTTGTTACCCCAGGGAAACAGAAATGATTTTACAATTCCCTGTGTCAAGAGCAGTCTCTCTTCATGAGGCTATTGAATCGCAGAACCCTCTCCACTTGAATTAGTTATTTCTATTTTTGGGTCTTTCAAACCCAGCACTGGCAGAAAATGTTTAAAAGGCCCATTGCACCAGATCCTAATCATACTTAAAAGAACAGAAGGCAAGACAAGGTAATTTCACAAGGAACCGTGAGATGATGCCCAAGTGGGATTAAAAAGCATAAGATGACAGGGAATACTGAAGGGTTCTGTTACTCTATCAACAATGATAAGTTGAGGAATTTGTAATTTGAAGTCTAGGAAAGATTGAGGGAATAAGTTAAACCTCACTGACTTGATGGGATCTTATGGATTCAAGTTTTTGTAAATGATGATCCATGCAATTTCCATTAAGTTTGACCAGCAAGATTCTATTAGTTTGCCACTTAGTGGATTTGGTTAAAATGAATCACTTTCAAATTAGAACTGGTAACATTGCGTAGAATTTAATGCTTCCCAAGGAGACAAACTGGGAGACAGGGTGTCTGTAAAAATGGGTGGAAAGACCGAGTGTGAAAATACTGTCGTCTTCCCAAACCCCCATTTACTTTGGGGTGGGAAAATTTGACGACATCATTCCTGCCCAGAAGCCAATGGAGGTCATCAAGTGGCCATTTAAAACAGATAACCCAGAAAAGTGCATGATCTGTATCTTTCCCTCCCTGAGACTTGTTTATGTGGAGGAATGTCCACCTGAACCTTCATCCCAGATCTACTGTGGCTCATTGGAAACATGCTGTCTGGAGTGTATTAATACCCAAAGTCTATGTAAAGTTAGCTTATCAAAGTCTGGGTAATGGTGAGGCACTTCAGCTGGCCATGACATCTCTGGGGTACATGAAGGAGAACTTTTATCATTGTTTACATAAATGATTCTGCTGGAAATATGCACCTTACAAACACCAATTAAGGTCATGAGCAAGTTGCCTATAATATTCCTCCCCCATCAAATGTCTTTAAAGAAGGGTTACAAAGTTTCAGTCTGTATTGACTTGGTTGATCACAATCACTACAATGGGGTGAGTTGGGCTAAGGACATCAGAATGGATTCACCTGGTCATTCAGTTTTTGTATGCTACAGAACATGGACAGAATTTTATGCTTTCACTGGAGGTGAGCCTGGGGGAAGGAAGAGCATTCAGTTAGGTGGAGTGGTATCACATCTGAATCCTGATGCCTTCTAGCCTGCACCAGAATTCATTTTTGTGCAGGAAGGCCCCTGGCCAATCTTCTTGCTCCACCACCAATTGAAGTCCCTATGTGGTGAATCACAGACCATTTAAAGATCTTATCTAACTACTGTTGAGGCTAACGCATTTCCAGGTTGGCCAGTTGCCATGTAACCTGCACATGATGCCAAATTGTACAGGCCCCTCATCACCTTGGTGGTGGAGGGGTGGCAATGGCAGGTCTCTTCATCAGAAAGAATCATCACCTGATTGGGATAATTGACATGGGTGGGGGGGATGATGGCTGATGGTTGCCAACCCTCTGACCCCTCTCCCATGACCCCCACTGCACAACACTGAATTCAGTTGTGGTGTGGTTCCTTCATGATCCCAGAACCTGGGGGATGGCCTTCCAGCAGTAGCCACCTCAGTGATGCTGTTGAGTAGAACAGCAGCCACACAAAGATTGGCCAGCAGCTCTGTCTAGACAGGACATCAGTTCCAGAGTCTTGAGAAGTGTATGAAGGCCCGGCACTGCCTGACTGGTGTATGGTTTGGCAGATCTTCCTCAGATGAGACAGCTTGAGTCTCTTGCCCGGTCTCCAAACAGAAGAAACCCCTAGTGCTACAATTTGGCATCCCTTGTAATGACAGTATTTCTGCTCAATGTTGTCATGTGATAAGTTGCAAATCTTATCTTATCTTTATCTTATAGAGCATTTAATATTTTGTATTAGCTCATCTCTGAATTCACTCAATTCCTAAATAGTTTTATGATTTTGGCTTCAGCCACCCCAACAAAAGCCCATGCGTTTATCATATCTAGAATCATGGAATCCCTATGGTGCTGAAACAGGCCATTTGGCTCATTGAGTCTGCGAAGACTATCCCACCCAGACCCAGCACCCTACCCTATCCCTATAACCACGTATTTGCCATGGCTAATCCATCTAGTTTACACATCCCTGGACACATAGGGCTATTTAGCACAGTCAATTCACCTAACCTGCACATCTCTGAACTGTGGGAGGAAACTGGAGCACCCAGTGGAAACCCACAAAGACACAGGTGAACATGCAAAATCCACACAGACAGTTACCCAAGGCCGGAATCGAACCCAGGTCCCTGCCACTTTGAGCTAGCAGTGCTAATCACTCTGCTCCCCTAATATGAAAAAACTCCTCAAATGAAGAACAACTATTCTTGAATTTGAATTTCACAGTTTGAACCTCTTGTATTCCAGTGTCATTGTATAATCCGATGTAGTGCTAATATAGTTTTGAGATAACATTATTGTGTTGCAAACCTCAATCTGGCCACTTCTTAGTCACGTTTCTTTCCTGAATTTCACCACAGCATCTTACTGGCTTAGTGAATGAAGCCACCATCCAGTACAGTATTAAAACAAGACGTTCCCAAGCTGGACTCCCAATCTGTGTTGATCTTTACTGACTGCTGCTTTGGAGCCCTGCAACTGAAAACTCTGCATTTTTCAGGGCGTACATGGATTTTAGTAAAGCCTTTGACAAAGATCGACATGGTAGACTCGTTAGTAAAGTTACATCACGTGGGACTTGGAGAGCTTGCCAAGTGGATACAAAATTAGCTTGATGGTAGGAGACAGAGGATGGTAATGGAGGGTTGTTTCTCAGACTGGAGGCCTGTGACCAACGGTGTTCCACAGGAATCAGTGCTGAGTCCACTTTTGTTTGTCATTTATGTAAACAATTTGGACGAGGATATAGGAAACATAGTAAGTTTGCAGATGACACCAAAATTGACAGTATAGTAGACAGTGAAGAAGGTTATCTAAGGTTACAAAGGGTCTTGATCAATTTGGCCAATAGGCCAAGGAGTGGCAAATGGAGTTCGATTTGGATAAATGCGAGGCGTTGCATTTTGGTAAGACGAACAAGGGCAGGACTTACACAATTAATTGTCTGGTCCTGGGGAGTGTGGTTGAACAGAGACCTAAGGGTTCAGGTACATATTTCTTTGAAAGTTGTGTCACAGGTAGGGAGGGTGGTAAAGAAGGCATCTAGCACAGTTGCCTTCATTGCTCAGACCATTGAACATAGGAGCTGGGACGTCATTTTGCAGTTGTACAGGACTTTGATGAGGCCACATTTGGAGTACTGTGTACAGTTCTGGTCACTCTGCTATAGGAAGGATATTATTAAATTGAAGAGGATGCAGAATAGATTTACAAGGAAGTTACTGAGACTGGAGGTTTTGAGTTAGGGAGGCTGGATAAGTTGGGATTTTTTCACTGCGATATAGGAGGTGAGAGTTGAAGTTATAGTGGTTTATAAAATCATGAGGGGCATTGATAAGGTGAATCGCAAAGATCTAGGGTAGGGAAATGCAAAACTAGACTGCATAATTTTAAGATGAGAGGGGAAAAAAATTTAAAAGGGACCTGAGAGACAACTTTTGTATATGGAATGAGCTGCCAGAGGAAGTGGTAAGTGCAGGTACAGTTACTGCATTTAAAAGACATTTTGACAGGTACATGAATAGGAAAAGTTTAGATGGATATGGGCCAAACTCAAGCAAACAGGATTAGTTTAGTCATAGCAACTTGGTCAGCTAGGACAAGTTGGACCGAAAGTTCTGATCCCATGCTGTAAGACTCTGACTCTATATCCAATCCTGGAGGCCATCCAGTGATTGGAGCCATCCAGCTTGGAATTGTTCAATATAGGAAAAATAGGACTAAGAAGCAGGAGTAGATCATTTGACCCTCGAGCCTACTCTGGCATTCGATAGGGTCATAGCTAATCTGATTGTGGTCTCAACACCACCTTCCTATCTATCATTGACTCCCTTGTCTATTAAAAATCTAACTAAAGACCCTGTCTCCACTGCTTACTGAGAAAGAGAATTCCATGCACTAAAAGAACTCAGAGAAAAAAAGGTTCTTTTATTCTTTATCTGAGAAATGGAGACATTCTTTTCTAAACTCAGTCGTCTAGTTCTGGTCTGTCCCACAAGAGACAACATGTTATGTGTTTTCACCCTAATCAAGTCCTCTCAGGACTTTATATATTTCAATAAGATACCTCATATTCTTCTAAACTGCAATACATAAGAGGCCCAACCAACTCAACCTTCTATCAAGAAGTCCCTCATCCAGGAATGAACTGGGTGAATCGTCTCTAAACCGATTCTAATGCATTTGTATCTTTTTACAAATAAGATCAAAAACGTACATAGCACTCCAGGTATGGGCCCACCAAGACCCTGTACAACATTATAGGATATGACTCAGGATTGTTCAAATCCTGCAAGGTCACCCCTCTCCCTATTTCTGTAACCTTTTCCAGGCTAAAATTCTAGATATCTGCACATGCCTAATTCCCAGCTTTTGTGCATTCCTGGTTATAGCCGCTCCACCATTAATGGCTGCGCCTTTAGCTGGCTAGACTACAAGTTCTGGAAAACAGTCCCTAAACTTTTCACCTGCTTCATTTTCTTTTACTGTGCTTCATAAAGCATCTTGGGACATTCTACCTTGTTAAAATGCCTATATTAATGCAAGTTGCTGCTATATTTTATGATTGATTTTTAACAGTTGGAAGTGAGCCCCTTAGAAAATGCTATCTATGTTGTGGAAAACAAAAACCAGGAGCTGCGGACTCTCATCAGTCAATACCAGCACAGGCAGCTGCACGCCAACATTAATCTTCTCAGCATGTGTCTTAATGGAGTGATAGATGCTGCTGTCAATGGAGGAATAGCCAGATACCAAGAGGTAAGGGTCATTTGGAGCAGGCCTGAAATTGCAGTTAGGAACAGTGAAGCAGAACCAAAATAGAAATGGAAGGTGCTGAATGTTCAGACATGAGAATTTTGAGAAACAGTGTGATAGCACTTACAGCCCAAATTAAGCATTAATATCTTTACTAGATTTGGTAGGAATATCACTTAACAACATATCCATTAGCAATACACCTGCTAATAAATATACCCATTGGTAACAAACATATTATCGGGAGTTATATAAACAATCACAGAGAATAGACAACCACTTGTCAAATGTAGCCTTCAGCAACTGATTGAATTGCTCATAAAAAGACGGGATCACCTTTTGAAACAACTTTTATGCCTTTCTTTCCAAGGTGAGTAGCATTTTTCATTGGCAACTTCATATTATCAAAATCCACCTCAAGTCAATCGTATGCCACAGTTGTCCAATGAGGCAAATATTTCTTTGTTTCTATGATATTAGAGACTGCCTCAGTGTTGTACATCTGTTTTAACTTTTCTCTATGGCACAGATGTCTTTCAGATTATTATCAATATACACAACAAGCGCAATCTCCTTTGATCACAAATACTTCAGAATTACAAGATTAACAATTTCAGCCCTGCAAGTTACAGCAAAGTCCCACCTGTCCTAGAAAATTTTCATCATGTGTTTGAATAGATTGACTGGAATAACTGTAAGTGTTGCCTGGGGAATTAAAGATCAAGTTTATCTGATTTAACATATGAAAAACATATATTCTTATCGATTTAGTGTCTTGGCATTTCAAACAAAGAGTAACTGTGACATCATCATTCAACATCAGTTTGCACCACCATCTGCAGCTTTCAAACATTTAAATTAACTAACAGGCATTTTGTTTCATGACGTAGATGAAGTTTCAAAGTTCTAATTTGGCACCAAAATTAAACAAAACTTTGAAGAATGCCTGTGCGGTTTCAATCCAATTTTACAACATTTGTTTGTCTTGAATGTGTTATTTTACAACATTTGTTTGTCTTGAATGTGTTATTTCCTATTATAGGAAAGACTCTTTATCTGCAATGAAAATAGACTACAGCTTTTAACACATTAATTTAGTGCAAAATTCATAATTTATGAAGGTGGAGTTGGTCAGTTTCTGTACACCTGTCTGTAGCAAATAGCATTCTGTATTTAATTTGAACTTTAGATACTCCTCTGGGTTATTCTCTCAAATCTCAATGGGCAGAATCTTATAGGAATCTAAGTGCCATGGGCTATGCTGCAGTTTGTGGTAGAATCAGATGAGAAGTCTAACATGATGCCAGGAGCATCTTGTTCCATCATGTATGCTTTTGCCAATCGGTGAGGTAAGTATCTCATTAGACAGTGGCAAGTTGCCAATTAAGGGGGATTATAGCTTGTTAAAAACCTTTTGATTGGGGAAAACATCACGGCAGTACTTAGACAGGGTATTCCTGAGGGATCGTCCAGTGAGGCTGTATGGGTGGAATTGAAAAATAAGAGGAAGGTGATCACTTGAAGAGATTGTACTATAAGCCCCCCAATAGTCAATGGGAAATTGAGGACCAGATATGTAGGGAGATCACAGATAGCTGTAAGAATAATAGGGTTGTAATAGTAGGGGGATTTTAACTTTCCAAACATTGACTGGGACTGCCATTGTGTTATGGCTTGGATGGGGAGGAATTTGTCACGTGTGCTCAGGAAAAATTTCTAAATCAATATGTAGACGGCACAACTAGAGAAGGAGCAAAACTTGATCTCCTCTTGGGAAATAAGGCAGGGCAAGTAACTGATGTGTTAGTGGGGGAGCACTTTGGACCAGTGGCCTTAATTCTACTAGTTCTAAAATAGTTAGGGAAAAGGATAGGTATGGTCCACGAGCTAAAGTTCTAAATTGGGGCAAGGCCAATTTTGATGGTATTAGACAGGAACTTTCAAAAGTTGGTTGGGGATGCTGTTCGCAACTAAAGGGACATCTAACAAGTGAGAAGCTTTCAAAGGCAAGATTAGAAAGAGTTCAGGGCCAGGAGTTGTTAATGTGAAGGGCAAGATTGGGCAGGAATAGGAACATTGGATGACTGGAGATATCGAGGCTCTGGTCAAGAAAAAGGAGGCATATGTCGGGTATAGGCAGCTGAGATCAAGTGAATCCCTTGAGGAGTAGAGTGGACTGTACGACTAGACTTCAAAGGGAAATCAGGAGGGCAAAAAAAGGATGTGAGATAGCTTTGGCAGATAAGGTAAAGGAGAATCCAAAGAGATTCTACAAATATATTAAGGCAAAACAGAATGTAGGGAGAGAATAGGGACCCTTAAAGATCAAGGAGATTGTCTATGTGTGGAGCCACAAGAGATGGGTGAGATCCTAAGCGAATATTTCTCATCAGTATTTACCATGGAGAAAGACATAGAAGCTAGGGAACTCGGGGAGGTTAATAGTGATGTCTGAAAAGAGTTCACAGTACAGAAGAGGTGCTGGAGGTCTTAAAATGCATAAAAGTAGATAAATCCCCAGGACCTAATCAGGTTTATCCCAAAACTTTGTGGGAAGCTAGGGAAAAAATTGCAGGGCCCCTAGCAGAGGTATTTATCTCATCAACAGCCATAGGTGAGGTGCTGGAAGACTGGAGGGTGGCTAATGTTGTGCCATTATTTAAGAAAGGTTGCAAGGAAAAGACAAAGTACTACAGACCTGTGATCCTAATGTCAGTGATAGGTAAGTTGTTGGAGGGGATTCTGAGACACAGGACCTACATACATTTGGAAAGGCAAAGACGGCTTAGAAATAGTCAGAGATAGTAGGAACTGCCGATGCTGGAGAATCTAAGATAACAAGGTGTAGAGCTGGATGAACACAGCAGGCCAAACAGCATCAGAGGAGCAGGAAAGCTGACGTTTCGGGTCTAGACCCTTCTTCAGAAATGGGGGAGGGAAAGGGGATTCTGAAATAAATAGGGAGAGGGGGGAGGCGGATAGAAGATGGATAAGGGAGAAGATGGGTGGAGAGGAGACAGATAGGCGAAGAGGCGGGGGTGGAGCCAGTAAAGTGAGTGTA